CTCTATGGACTGGTGACAAGTCTGGTAGGCTTAAGGTGTGGGAAGTTCGTTAAAATGACCCTGAAAAAATCCTGAAATTTTTTGGGGCTCTGTTAATCACCTCTCTCACTCACACATGCACACCCCCACCCACCCACATGCATGCACCCACGCACCCACCCACATGCGTGCACACACACACACACACACACACACACACACACACACACACACACACACACAGAGGAAAATGTGAAAGCAATGAGCACTCACTCCCTTGCCTTTCAGTATTAGTAAATGTAGTAGGCTATTTAGGCTATTTTCAGTCTACTTCGACTAGATATGAGTCCTCGAGAGGACAAGCATGCACGTAGAGAGAGAAGACACCTACCTCTCACCCGTATCCAACTCCCACTCTTCCAATTCTGTCGAAAAAATCAATTGACTTTTACAGCGGCAGTGTAACTTCCAAGTCTCACTCGGAGCAAAAATGTTTTTTTTTTCATTATTCAAATTTCAATTCCACAAAAAAGAACAGAGGACCCGAGCATGCATTTCAACCAACGGCACCGTTTGCTCGAATGCGCCCTCATATTTCATCGATCCAAAGTGGACAAAAAAAAAAAAAAAAAAAACAGAGAAGAACTTCAAAAGGAGTCCGTCAATTCCGGATGTCAAAAATGATTACCTCTCAAAAAAAAAAAAAAAAAAAAAAAAAAAAAAAAAAAAAAAAAAAAAAAAACAAAAAAAAAAAAAAAAAAAAAAAAAAAAACCTCAACTCAAATGCAACTCAACTCAACTGAAATGTGATACAACCAAAAAATCAACTCAAGCTGAGTCCCAATTCAACTCGACTCAAATCGCACCTCGATCTAAAACTCTAAAAATGTCGTTGCCCAGGACAAAAAAGAGGATGGGAAGAAAAGCTACCGTGTCTACGAAAAAGGGTTCTTTCGGGGCCCGGCCGGGGGAGGGGGGAGGGGGGAGGTGGGTACGGAGGGTGGGGACCACTTTGTCCCTCCACCGATGTACCTCGAAATGCAAACGACCAGGTGCATGATCCATAGCAGGAAGGAGGTCATGATACTCAGGTACATTATGGGAGGGGGATGACTTAGCCCCTCCGACGATGTACCTACACATGAAACAACTGACCAGGTGCATGATCCATTGGTTATGTTGCTGGGCACAGGGAGGAGGGAAGTGTGTGTTCCCTTCTCCTTGTGTTCTCACAATCGCACACGCCTTACTTCACGACAAGCAGCTGCTTTACTTTGGGGGTACCCCGTGTTTCCAAACACCTTTTTTTCTTTTCTTTTCCCAACGCTCACTCCATGACAAGCAGCTGCTTTGCCTTGGAGCACCCCCTCTTTCCG